ACCTAGAAGAGTAGACCATGGAAGGTTGCCAGTGGTCAAATCACCTTGTGAGATACAACCTGAAAAGCACAAGGGGAAGTTAGCCACATGGGGGGTCTGGTGTTTTGTGTGGGGGCTTCATAGGCATAGTACAGAAAGAGGCTAGTTGGGTTAAAATGTGGGTGGGAAGGGAACCAGTGAGAGGGGCTGTAGTTTAGTTCGTCTAGAAGGGAAAAGAGAGAGAAGTTAGCAGTTAGGGTGGATCAACACACACATTTATATATCAAGGAAAAGAGACAGAAGAAAGGATAGATTGAAATTGTAGTGGAGAGCAGGAACAATTGGTGAAGGAAGGTTCCAGAAGAAATGGAAGATGGTGGAATCAAGATGAAGGGCAGGGAAGGATGAGATGGTGAGGAACTGCGTCCATAAATATATGCTATCGTATTGTGTGCCAATCAGATTTTCGGGCATTTGTCTTCAGATTCTTGGTATCTTCCCCCAACTACATTTTATTATTTTTCAAGGTAAATAACTAAAATTGCTAACGAAAGATAACATTTTTAAGCTCTTTAGCAAGCATTACCAAATTCAAAAGTTCTCTTCACTTACCTTTATTCGGGGCCCATTGACCATGTGAGAGCATCCTGGTCACCCCCAACCCCCCCAGACCTGTTCTTTTCAGCTCTGTCTTTCGTTTTTTCCATTTCGCCATTCAGATCAGTTTGATACATTCTTTTTGATTGAGATTAGTTTGAATGAAACTTCTTGAAGTATCCTGGAGAAAGGAAAAATTTGGAGGGTAGCCTGCCTCCATGAGGTGTGTGAGAGACAGAGACAGAGAAGGGAGAGCCAGAGGGGCTGACAGTGGTTCTGTGACTTGACTGAAGAAAAACTGAGGACCCTTGCCGAGCTGAGAAGTCCTAGGTATGCTGTTCTATCCACACCTCCAGCCCTGCTCTGAAGGTCCAGGGTCAGAAGGGCTGCCACCCCAGATGGAACAGAGACTGAGACCATTTGTGGCCTCAGAATTTGAAATTTATGGGAGAGTTGTTTTCAAATAACAGTCCCCTGAGGTGGGGACCAGCAAAGGGGAAGGGAACCCCCACATGGAGCCTGCTCACGTCCCTGCCAGCCTAGACATGGGAGAGGGAGTGGCGGCTGAATGTATAGACAGGGAGTTTGTCAGAGTCACGTGACAAAGGCTCAGGTTTTCTTTCTCCCTCTTTGTTGCTTTTAATACATAAAATGAGCAAGTGTTTATTTAAAACGGCTTTCAAACTTAAACAAATAATGACAGGCTGTTCAAACAGACTTCGGAAATCACCCTAATCAGGATGTTTGAAAAAGCAAGACAATTTTCTCTGAAAGTGGCTTTTCAGACATTCTGTCCTGAAGCCACAGGGTCTTCTTTGCATTTGGGGATTACAAAAAGGCAGAGCGTATGGACCAGATGCAACCTCCAGGGGGTCAGTCATTCACCACTTCCCCTGTCCTTAACCCGACTACTAATTTACAAAACACAGAGGGACATTTTACTGTCATTTCCCATCTTCCACAGAACATGGAACATAGACATTTTAAGTCATAATTTCCATAGAAATTACTGCTTTTCTTCAAAGCAGCAAGCCAAGTCCTTTAAGAATGTTCTGGAGAGGGGTATGCATCTGTAGAGGGCCAGGCTGGACCGGCCTCAGGAGGGGAAGGCAGCTGGAGCAGGTGCAGAGCCCATCTGCCAGAGGGCAGGCTGGAGGACAAGTCACTAGTGCCTTAGTCGTTCCTCTTCTGGACCACACTGACAGATGGCTTGGAGTGACTTATGTTAATCTTCACAAGCTCGGATTTTATGGTTATGGGGGAAGCAAATAAGGCTGGGCTTGGATACTTTGCTTAAGGCCATAAACTAATAAAATACTACAGCAGAGGTTCACCTGGACTCTTTTCCAAATTCAGTGTCCTTCCTGGACTCTTGGGGCTGCAACAGCTCCTGGTGCCCACTCTTTGGGTGAAGAGATGCCATTTTTCTTTATAATACTCATCGGAAGTGCTTCATGAGGTCTGTTAGCACTGTGTGGGTTTCAGTGGGTGAGGCAGTGATGGAATTTTTCAGCTACAGACAGGCAGTATTTGGGAAGGCTTTCCTCATGCCCACCCCATACTGTAGTCCAGGAGAACCTGGACTCGATCCCTGACTCTGCCACTTTCCCATGATGGCTCCATGACCAGGAAGGTCATTGGGAGATTGCCAGCACCTGCTTCACTTCAGATTTTGGCTCAGAAAACTCCATTGATGACTAAAGGAATTCAAAGCCTAGTTGTGACTCTCAGAGCCAAGCTGAATTGCAGACAAGCTTGTGCCAGTGTCCTGAAGAACCCTGGCATCTTTGGCTGGGCTTTGGGGGTGAGAAGTGTCACCCACTTGGCTCTCCAAAATCGACACAAAGGAGAGGACCTGTAGACATTTCCAGCAGGGTCCACAAGCTTAGGTGCTGTTGTCAAGTGGCAGCTTGTCCTACCTGCTAACAAACTGCCTCCCGCCTGCCTAGTGACCCCTAACCCTGGAAAGGAAGTTGTTCCTTGGCAGACAATCAGGATGGCACCTCAGCTGTGCCCGAAGAGCACTAAGCACATACGTACTTCGTTTATATTCACTGCCCGGGTTTTCTACCACTCAAACTTAGATATCTTTAACAATCGTTATTAAAAAAAAAAAAAAAAAAAAAAGAACTCCTTTGCGCCCTCTCCTGGTAAAAGTTCATCTAGTCCCTCTAGACATACAGAGCACACACTTGGCAAGTAGTTGATTATTTGGGCCAAATGAACAGCCCAGCACTGATGTGTGCAAGACTGTGGACACGACTCGATCGTTTGTTCTTCTGTAGTTCATGACCGCCAAGTACCCTACACACCAGGGCTTCTCGGCCACACGCTCTAGGCATTTGGGGCTGGATAATTCTTTGCAGCAGGAGCTGTCTGGTGCCTCCTTGCCTGCTTTGTAAAAGGAGGCATCAGTCACAGGGCAGCCACAAGAGAGTGACTACAGAATGCAACTTCAAGGGATGGTCAACTGAGCTCTAGGAATTTTTTTTTTAAAAAAACAAGAGAACAGGGAAACAATCTATGTACAAAGACATATATTATTTATGATAGCTAAAGTGTGAAATACTCTAAATAAAAATTTGCTAAATACACACTATATGTGTGTTTGTGTGTGTGAATGTATGGTAGAATACTATATACTCATGAAAAATTACTGAATGCAAGCAATTTCCTTCTTAATGCCTAAACCCTGACTTTGAAAATACTTCAGGATTCTCAGAGGTGGTTACATGTAGAAGGAATAGCTTCAGACAGATTAATAAGCATTTGAATGAAATGTTAGGTCAAATTCAAACCAATGACTGAATCCAGAAAGCATTGAGCCTTAACCAAACAAACATTTGCTAAACACCTACAATATATCCAGGCCATGCCCAGTGCTGGAGAGACAAAGACATTGCTGATTCCTCTACTATAATATGTTCCAAGACAGACAAAGCATTCTGCACATTGTTACAATCCAGAGTCAAACCATGTTACTATTTCCTGCTGTAATATTGCACACGTTGTTTGATTCAAGGTTATTTGGAGTAATATGGAACTATATCTTGTTTTCCTCTTCAGACCTGAAAAAGTCACATCAATTGAAAAGACTTCATTTACTGATTTAGCTATCCAATTCATTCAGGGAATTGTTCAACCACTCATTGGGTCCAGCTGTGGAACATAGCTCCCCAATATCTAAGTTCATCAGTATCTAAGAAGTGAGCAATTAATGACTTGTTCAATCTGAGACAATCCAGAGAGGAACTTTGCCGTAACACCTGCAGGCACAGCTTCAGATGCTGTGATAGGAAGAGGGGACAGAGCCCGTCTTCTTTCAGGGATCTGGGCATCCAGTGACATGGCAGTGGCTGCATGATTTGTGGATTTCACTACTTGAGTTAAAGGTAGAGTCAGAGATGTGGTCATCCAGTCTTACCACCCACAGGAAACCCCTTTGATGGCTTCCTTTCCTGGGAAATACCCTGCTCTTCCCCTCAAAAACTCAGTACTCCATGGGTCAAGGACCCCTTATATCTATCAACTCAGCACCGGGCAGCCCAAGGCCTGACAGACCTGCTGTCAGCCAGGCTTGGGCATCAGCAGAGTGAAGGGCGCTGGTTTGGATTTGGGTTCTAATCCTGGCTTTGCCATTTAACACACACACACACACACACACACACATCTCTGTGGGTCTCAGAGGTTTATATTCCCATTATCACCAATTTATGACATCACTTTCTACATAAATTCTTCTGTTTGTTCAGTTGTTGTCTTTTAAAAAAAGAATAAATTCTAGCAGTGATCTCAGTTGGTCATTCATCAAAACTGCATCTCAGAAGCTTGAAGGACTTGTGCTAAGCCATCCTTACTCTCACAGCTGCCCTGTGACTGATGGGAACTTTCACGACAAGCAAGCAAGTTTTCAACTTTAGAACAAGTACAATGACTTCATAATATTGGTGTGCAGAGTAAATAAAACAATGTACGTTGGGTATCTGGTACAGCAAGCACTCAATAAAAGAGTGTGGTAGTCACTGCATTTGCTATGTTTTCTTATTTTTCTGAATGGCTGGGCTAACTAAAAAATTTCCAAACCTCCATTAATTTCCAGTCGCCTTTGCTGTTTTTCTTTTCTTCTGAGCACTTACCTCTCTGATACCCTACCTCGTATTTACTTTGTGAGGCTGTCCTGATCCACCAGATAAGTTTCCTGAGACAGGAGCTTTTGTGTCTCAGGTGCTGGCTATATATAAACAGATCCCCAGTAAATAGTCCCTGCACCAGTGAAAAAGGTGCATCCTGAATCATAGCCTCTGAAAAGCATTTATACTTTCCCCTGCCTCCCTCCTGAGGCCGCCCTGGCTGCTGGGGTGACAGTCTGTGCTCTCCCCCACCTTGCTCTTTCTGATGCTGTTTTTTTCTCTCCCCCACTGCAGGATGCCTTTGTGGAACTGTATGGCCCCAGTGTGCGACCTCTGTTTGACTTCTCCTGGCTGTCTCTGAAGACTCTGCTCAGCCTGGCCCTGGTGGGAGTCTGTATCACCCTGGGTGCCTACCTGGGCCACAAGTGAAGTCCCCAGGCCTTCTCCAAACAAATATGCAAAAGGTTCACTAAAGCAGTAGAAGTAAGATGCACTGTAGTAACATGAATCAAAGTTGTGGTCTCTTTAAAAGAAAGCAAAACAACACACACACACACACACACACACACACACAGACAGCTTTCAGGCAAAAGATGGAATCAGCTATTTACTGCCAAAGGGAAATATCATTTATTTTTTACATTGTTAAGAAAAAAGATTTATTTATTTAACAGTCCCTTTGAAATCCAGTCTTTGGAAATCCCACCACTATGTGCGGCTCCACCTGCTGGCCTGTGCCTAGGAACTTAGATGGCCCTGTTTTCCATGTGGCCCACAACAAGAGTCCTGGCAATGGGAAGCCTGTGCTCTGGCCCCTGGAGCTGGGGAGGGGAGGCGGTCCTTTGACTTGCGCTCATTGGTCCTGATGGCTGTGACCTGACAGAAGGAGGGTCATCAGAGAGAAGTCCATTTTCCCCTGGCCTGAAGATGGGATGCTTTGCATTTGACTCACGTTGTATACACCCAGTTAGAGGACAAGAGCTGGGAACTTCGATGGATGCTGTACCAGTTGAGACTTCCCTGCTGAAGAACAGTGATGGGAAAAATGCCCTTAACCCATAGGAAAGTATTTTTTTAAGCTACCAATTGTGCCGAGAAGCATTTTAGCAGTTTATAATACAATATCATCCAGTACCTTAAGTCCTGATGGTGTATATTCATATATTTTGGATATGTTTCCCCACCCCATACTTGCTCTGTCTGAGAAGAAAGCAGACTCAGTCCTCTGGATTCGAGGAAGTGGAGGTTTCAGTGATTTCTTCCACCATCAGGAAGACCGGAGTCACCCAGAGCATCAGGCGGCCACAAGTGCCTGCTTTCAGGAGATGGACATCTGTGTAGCCTACCCTGCATCCCGCCTGGGAGCCTGGTCCTGGCACCAAGCCTGGGCGATCACGGGCCTCCTCTGAGGGTTTTAAACAGAGCAGTGTGGCCTCCGACTGTCTGTAAGCTGACGGAGCTCAAAATTCCACTGTCAAGAAAGAGCAATAGTGGAACTCCACTGGGCCTGTTACCCTCAGGCCCCCCAGGTAGGCCGTTTTCACATGGAGCATGGAGCCTGGGAGCCACAACTCTTCTGAAGACATTTATCACTGTGTCTGTCCTAGCAGAGGGATGTGGTGAAGGCCAAGGAGCTGCCCTCCAAACAAAGTGCAAAGAAAGACCATGGCTGTGGCCTTTTGGTCACTGCACTAGTGCATTGGTGGCCTTTGGCCTGTCTGTGGCTTAAAACTAGGCTTTAAATGACTTCAGGAAGGGTCATAAACCCTAAAGAAAGCATTGAAGTGAGGTGTCCTGGATTCATTGACTTACAGCTATGGAATTACATGACTTATGCCTTGTCATTGTAGTTTGGTTTTATTTGAAAACCTGATAGAGGAAGAAAACAAATAGTTCCAGGTGTGGAATGTGTGGATTATTAGTACATCCTGGGGCATTATAAAAAAAACAAAAATCAATGGTGGAACGTTGTAGAGAAGTAGCAAAAGAAGTGAAATCTCCAGCTAATAAGCTAGAAAAAAATTTTTCAAGTTTAGAATCAGCCTGGAGACATTTGTGGAATAACTTTGTGGCATTATCGCATTCTTATACCATTTATCTGTATTAACTTTGGAATGTACTATGGTCAACGTTTAATGCTGTGGTTGATATTTCAAAAGCTGCTTTTTTAAAAAAGAATACATGCATCTCAGCATTTTTTTAAAATTGTATTTCGTTATAGCCTCTCCACTATTTGTTAGCAAAAAAGTGATAATTTTTCCATTTGAAAATGCTGCCTCTTGATTCTTCATAAGCATTTCTGAAAAGGTGGCATCAGCCCTGAGTCTCAGCTACCTGTGCAACCCTGAATTTCCCTGTCCACTGGGGAGCTGCGTTTTTACCAAGCTCTGTGCGTGCGTGTCTATGCCCACAGGACTGTTCATTGTGACACATACACCTGTCATTCCTTTGACCTTGTTTCTTGAAGGTTTACTTCTCCCTGGGCAGTTCAGCATTTAACTCAAGTTTCTAGGATGACATGCATGTTTGGTTAAACCCATGAGGTTCATTCAGCCGGAAACCCAAATGGGAAACGACCAAAAGATGAAAATCTGGCAATGACAGTGAGACCTCCAGGTTGTTGCTTTGCATAGCTTGTTTCAACAAGGATGCATCGAGAGCCCTGCTCCCCCTCCCCAACCCCCGCAGGGCTCTGCTCTGTGGCTGTCCTTTCCACCCTTTCTGAAATGCAGTGGCACGAACACTTCACGGAGAAAGCAGGAAGCCTGCAGTGTTGGACCCAGACCTCCCTGCAGGCCTCAGGGAACAAGGTGATCAGACCTTTGAATGATTCTAATTTTTAAGCAATTATTTTATGAAAGGTTTACATTCTCAAAGTGACGAATATGGAATATCAAACCCTGTGCTGCTATCCTGCCAAGATCATTTTCATGGAGTCGGTTTGCAGTGCTCACCAAGAGGCCGAGATCCTCCAAGCTGCTTTACAAGTAACAATGAAGAAGAACACAGACATTTTTAATATAAAACCCATTTGTCTTTCGTTGTTGTTGTTGTTATTGTTCAAACTGGGATCTGCAGAGTATTTGAAAATGTATATATATTAAAAAGGAAAAAAAAAGGTCATGGGGGCCTGAACTTCTGGCTGGTTTCTTTTCTGTGGGGTTTTGTTATCTGATTTTTAACGGTAAGCACGCCCAGCCACCCAACCCCAGAACTGAACAGTGCTGTGGCTGTACTTGCTCTAAGAGGAGCTGATACAGGATTTTTTTCTTGTCGTTAAAAACATGTCAGAAGCAATGAATGTATATAAAAGCTTCAGCTAGTCAATTTGTGTTTCTCCTGTCTCAATTATTTTGCAAATGGTAAACAGAGAACTATAAGATTTTTTCATGTGCAGAAGGGATTCATACCTGCACCTAACTCCCCTTTGTGCTTTGGCGTTTCCTCTACATTGGCTAGGGTCAGAAGAAAAACCACACTCACTCTTCAAAGTGGGGTCCAGGGCCCAGAATTTCCCTGTGTGCCCGAGTCTCCCTGCCCAGGCACTCTGAAAGAGCTGGAAACAAAAACTGACCTGTTCTGCATGGAGTTCACCCAGAGGTTTAGGTGAAAGTGACTGTAGGCCTGAGATTCGGATTAAAGTCACATTTTAGTATTAAGGAAAGCACCTTCATATAATTCAAGCAGAAAACTCAACATCCTCAACATCCTCTGTCACTTATGCCTGCGTGTTCAGGTGTGGCCTTCCTTCAACTGTGACTCTTATTTCACTGGTAAATGCTTATTCTTGCATCTGAAGACCTAGCTCTGGCCCAGGGGTGAAGTTAGGAAGTGTTTAGAAATCCACAGGAATTATAATAATTAGGATTAAATGTAAATAATTAGGGAAATCCCAACACATCTTTTGCATCAAGGACATATTGAATGGACAAAATTGCAAAAGGTTTATATTTGCAATTAAATTTATAGTAAAACAATTCACTAAAATGTGATTCAAATCTAATCCCGATTGTATTTTGGCTGCTTTTATACTTTATCACTTATAGTTAGAAATGTCCTCCTCTATCAGAAAAAAACAGGAAGGGCTTGAAATATAAGCCAGTCTAAGGAACTTAGGTAGTCAATGGAAGTTCTATTCTGATCTTATGCTGTAGTATCTTTGCAGCCCAAACATGGCCACACACTTTTAAAGAAATACCCATTAGACATCGTCAGGCTTATGAAGGTTCCAATCAGTTCTGTATTGTTATTCAATTTGGATCTTTCAGAGAGTTTAAAACAGTGTCATTATATGGGACAAAGGACATTTGATGTAAGGGTGGGAAAAGGGAGAATTTTTAAATGAGTGAAATAGACCAGGGAGTGGAGGTTTTCAGAAAAGCCAGAACTTTGGATTATGAGGAACTTTTATTGAGTCAGTGTGATGTCCCGTTGAAGGCTATTACGCAACCTGTGAGAACCATTTTTAAGTTTTGTGGTACATCTAGATTCCAGGAACGCTGGCACCATTCAGAGTCTAGCTTAGTATGGGCATTCAGTGGTACGTTTCAAGCTGGATATGTCTAATGGGTAAACAATAAATTTGTCATCTTAACCAAAAGGCTATTTAATGACAACCTTCTGCTTAGTAGAGACATCTGTCTCAAAATGTTTATTATACACAATACAAGAAAATTTTAAATAAAATTAAATTAAATTAAACAATGTGAAGCTGAATTGAATAGATGATTATACAAGTCCTTTAGCCTCACTCAGCAAATCATTCTGTTACATGTCTTTGGACAACCATGAAATACACATCTCATTGGGCACAAAGAAAACCAGATGGAGTATGAATGGTACCATACCAAGTCATCACAACTACCCTAGAAAAATAACTCAAAGCCAATGTTCTATGGTTGTTCTGTGTAACAAGCTCAGCACAGAAGACAAAAACACTTGTGGAAGATGAGGTTAGCTTATCAGAAGTCCTAACACCATTAACTAATACATCAGCGTAGCTGTGTCATCATGCACCTTTCCAGTTTGGAAATCTGCAGTGCATTCTTCATCTGGCTCCTTTCATTAACTTTTCCCTCCAGGGTAGCATTTGAAGAATGAATGGCTGATTAAATTTCTTTTAGGGAAGTTTTCTTTTGGTGGTTGTGTTTATTGTAATATCTTCTTAAGTTTTCAACCAAATTTTGCTTTTGTTTGGAGTTACTGGAGTTTTTGTGTGTGTGTGTATGTGTGTGTGTGTGTGTTTTAAATAAAATCAGTGTATAATAAGTGTTTTTGTATTGAAAGCTTTTGTTATCAAGATTTTCATAATTTTACCTTCCATGGGCTGCTTTTAAGATTGATACTTTTAGGGGTGGCTGATATCTGCAACACTGTACATTAAAAAATATATATGCTAAGTGTACTTTACATAGTTAAGGTAAAGTAAGTCTCCAGTTGGCTACCATTACATATAATGGCACTTTGTTTGTGTTGTTGGAAAATGTCATATTGCCATTAAACTTTCCTTGTCTGTCCAGTTAATTTTGTGAAGAAAAATAAAGAACAGTGTGAGATACTGGTTGTGCCCTGGAATTGTTTATAATTGTGTTCACGTGGATTTTACCTGGCATTCATCGTCATTTAAACAAGACTTCGGAAAGCCTTCTTGACAAGCCAGTAGAACCGTCACCAACTCCAGTCTAATGACGCCCTCAGGGACTGGGAGGAGGGATTGCCTTACCAGTGAAACCACCTCAGAAGGAGGCCCTTCGTTTCATGGTCACTAATCATCCTGACTAGGTCCAGGATGGACCAGTCTTGAGTTCTATTTCCCAAGATAGCTCCTGTTGCTGTTTGGTGTGTTCATCCATAGGAACTGGAAATCCCATTGCCTAAGATGAAGGATTGTACAAAAAAAGAGGGAAACAAGCTGCAAGTTCCATTTTGAAGTTAACATTGTGAAACAACCAAGCAGTCACTTGCTTTGGAGCATGTAAACTCTAAATTGCAAGAAATCGAGTGTTTCCCTCTTCAGTCCTGATATCCTAAGCCTCAGTCCTCCAATTCTATTCCCTTTGACTCAGTTAAAGATCTGATAGTAAAATCCATCTGTTCAGCATCTGCTGGATTTAATGCCAGGTACACACTACCACCTGTTCGCATACCTTGGAAGGTACATATTGGCTTCTATTCTATAGGAGAAAACTGAGACTCAGAAGTTAAACAACAGGCTCAAGTGTTTAATCATAAGGCAGGATTTGAACCCAGACCCAATTGACTTAAGGCCAGTGCTCCATCCTTTCTTTCCTTCCAATCAATGATCTCCAAACTACTGCACATGGAACCATGGGTAACAACATTTCCAAGGGAAGCCCAGACATAGGTGTGTGTAGGAATCAAGGTTTCTACCACCGATGGGCAATCATCATAAACAGATCTCCTTGACAACACTCCTAAGATCAGACCGAGTCTCACCCACCTGTCCTTTCTCAATCGTCTGTTATGCTTCTCAAAAAGACACACTGTTCACCCTTTCTCTCCAAATTGTAAGGTGCCGTATAAATGCACTGGCACTGCCTTAAACTAGCTAGAAGAGGCATCTTTGTGGTCTCATTCCAACTCAATGTCAGAGATGTCGAATTAGTAGTTTCAAGAAATGAGCAAAAGCTATAGAAGAGAGCTTTTTCTTCTTTCTTTCCTTCTCTCTCTCTCTCTCTCTCTCTCTCCCTTCCTCTCTCCTTTATTTCTTTCTCCAGACCCAATTTGCCTGCACAGCACTAGGCATGGTCCTAGAGTGTGAAAACCCTTTGGTTACCAAAAGTCATGGTCTGAAATCCTGGGACTATGTTATCCTCTAATGATATGCAGCCAGTTCTTTGTCCCTGATGAAGGTGAAAGGGGACTGGGTCAAGTCAGCCTGTAGAGTTTTAAAAATAGGATTTTCAGAATATAACTCCAAAATTCTAAGAATTGAGTTAGGTCACTTATAACACAACTCTTTCCGTTCCCATGTGCTGATTTTTATGAAAAGCACCTATCAGAATCAATATCCACAAAAATGAAAAACAATAATGTTGATGGCAACCCTTTCTAACAATAAGTAATTTCTATTGATATATACAGGTCCTTCTTTGGGGGCTATCAGCTGACCCCATTCTTCTGAGGGGGTGCATTTCCAATAATATGTAAAGGTTCTATTTAATGACTATCAAAATTGTAATATATAAGAACAATCATTACAAAACCCAGCAATAAGAAAGTCAACATAATAGGCATAAAAATTTAGTCTTTTCTTATAGAAAATTATTAGAGGTTACTCAATTTCAAGCTACTACAATTGTATAAAATATCATATTGAGAGGTAAAGTTATGCATTTGAGGAGGAAAAGGGGAAATGCCAAATTTCTAGGAATCAAAGTGACTCGTTTCTGTGTTTCTTCATGTAGATAGTTTCATCATGGTAGTTAGAATTTAAAAGGGACGTAACAAATTTGTTTAAAACGCCTGTCCTTAACATCTCAGACAAACTTCTTATTGGCATGTGCCAGAATCTAATTTCCAATTGGCCTCAAGGGAAGAGCTCCAGAAGTCAGCCAAAGCTGAGTCTCTTGTAGAAGAGACACATATAAAAAAAAAAAAAAAAGAAAATGGCTACAATCTGGGTGACATATTCTAAGATAACTAATCAAGGAGCCTAAACTTCCCAACAGTTCTTAATCCCTTTAAAGCCTATACAGAAATTACCCAAGCACTTTATCAGGAACCATAATCACTTCATGCCTATAAATTACATCATACCAAAAAGTTCTGCCACGGACAATTTAAGGGTAACTTTCTTTCTCAGACTATGAACAAGGATTTGGAAATTATACCCTTAGCAACTATTTACATTTAAATTTTGACAATATCAATTTAAATGTGCACAGGTGGTACCTGCATTTCAAACTTCTTTTAGGTGGCATAGCAGTTAACTTACTGGAAGACCATTGCCTGGAAGCCCCTCTCAGGCTCTTCTGCACTTGGTTGGAAGCTCTGGCATGCATGCAGGGGCTTTTGTATTTTTTTTTTAATGGCAGTACTAGGGTTTGAACTCAGGGCCTCATGCTTGCTGGGCAGGCACTCTGCCACTTGAGCCACTCCACCAGCAGTGCTTATGTATTTTAATGAGTCTGCCAGCACCAAGGAAACAGGCTCATGGATAATAATAATTATCTGATTAGGGTCACTAAAATTTATTTAAATGTATAAAGTTAACATTTGTTGTAGAAAAATATGAGACCATCTCAAAAAAAAGTGAGCACTTAAGTGACCATCTTAAGTGCTCACTTTTTAAAAATATCATCTAGGATAAAATGGGTAGTGAAAATATGAATTTGAGGAGTAAAAAGAATGGTGGCAACTTTGCAAGTGTTAATAAAAAAGAACTTTCTGTATGTTTCATGTGGACAGTGTTGCATTTCCAATCATTACATTTTAAAATCAAGGAAATAGATTTGATTGGAATTCTACCCCATGTTTATGGGAAAGGCGAGAAGAAAACAGATTCAGAGTGACCGATTTGTGTGTCCCACCAGACACTGTTATCAAATGGAGGATTGCATCTCAGGTCTCTGTCAACCAGGTGCCAAGAACAGAGGACTACCTTGCAGAAGCATTAGGGGCAGTGTTTGGCCCCTAACACCAGCCTTAAGGGACCTTCCCTGGAAGTTCATCTGCCCTGATGAATTTAAAGATGACTACTGGTTTTTGAGACTGAACAACTGCATAGATAGGAGGTGTCATTTATTGTCCTGGAAAAGAATTAAGAAAGTGAGGTTGGGAGGATCAGCTCTGATGGAGGACATTTAAGAGCAAACTGTCAGCTGGGTATTGTGGTACATGCCTGTAATCTCAGCACTCAGAAGGTTAAGACCGGAGGATCTTGAGTTTGAGGCCAACCTGGGCTGCATAATTAAATGCTGTCTCAATAAAAAAAGAAGAGGGGGAGCAAACTGACCATAGGTTGATAGCTTCATTTTGTGTCCACTGAGCACCAAACTCATGTCCAATTAAATATTCACCATCTCCTCTTGAGTACCAGTAAGTGACTCAGTTTTAACATGGCCCAAGCAGAACTTTGATCAGAGCCATCAGCATATAGATAGTATGATGACATGGGCCTGGATGAAGTCACCTGAGAAAGGAGAGAATAGGGAGAACCAAGAATAGAGCCCTGGAGCCTTCTGGCACATAGAACTTTCAAACAGAGCCAGCAAAAAAAAGAGAAAGTATGTCTAGAGAGGAAGGCATACTTATTATGATTATAATGTCGTCCTCTTATTTAAATCTTACAAAAATCCCTTGAGGTAGGTTTTAGCCCCCATTTTATTAATGTAGAAAATGAGACTAAAAAAATGTCCATTTATTAAGGTAAGGTAGATGAGGCAACAATGACAAAGAAACTTCCAAATTAAGTACCTTAATAAAAAGATGTATGTGTAACTGAACATGGTGGGTTCACATTTTGGTGAATACAAAGTCAAAAACAAGAATAGTCAAAAAATAAGAGTGGAGAAAGATTACCTGCAATGGGTAAGGAGAACATGGGAGTTATTTCCAAAGCAATACCCTCCTCCAACAAAGGAAGGGAAGAAAGAGGATTTTATTTGGAGAGTCTATACATATTCATGTAGGTAGCACTTTATAAAGGCAGGCGCAGTCATTGTTCAAGAAGGAAAAAATGGCCGACACATTCCTGGGCATATGTACCTTAAGGTCATGGAGTACTCATTCCAAATGTTAAAATGGTGTACAGGAACACTTTGGAGTGTGCCCAGCTTGCATTATTAAAGATGGCGCACAAGAAAGTCTTTTGGCATGCCCAGCCTGTGTCATAAAGATGGTAGACAGGATCACTTCTGGGCATGGTCACTTTTGGTCAGAAAGTTTTAGCTGTAAGAAAAGGGAAGGACACTTTAATAAAGAGTTCACCCCTAATAGTACCTGCCTCACTTAGCTGCTAACCGATACAGGTGATGTCTGAGAACCTCTTACCCAAGCAGTGACTGGGAAGTCCAGCCTCCTTCTGTCTGGCGGTGCATCTTTCACAGGAGATAAACATAAGCATCTGAGCCTGTCAGGACTTCTGAAAGCTCAAGGGAACACCCCTCTGGGTGTCAGATCCTCAAATGTGAAGATAGTAAAGTACCTCTTGGTAGTTTTTACTCCTTCAAGCTGAATGTTCCAGCCATCATGCCTTTACCACCCTAGTTGTCCTATTTGGATACATTTTACTTTTCAACATCGCATTACATTCAGACATTTGTTTCTTGCTTCTGTCTTCTTATCTAGCTCTCCAAGTTTGTGTCATCCATAGATTTGGTAAGACAATCTGCTATACCTCTGTGTCTTTGATAAAATTACAAAACAGGTCAAATCCAAACATAGAGCCCTTGCTGTTTTCTTAATATCTCTTCATTGAAAGTAGACTAATTTCTTATCTTTATTACATAATGAAGGCAAAGGAAGGAATTAAGTTTTTCCCATTCTTGTATCCTCTAGAAATGTGTTTCTGTCTTACGCTTATTTGTATTTTTTCTGATACAGATATATGTGTAAAAAATTCCTTTATGTTGTTTGGCGACATTTTTTTTTTTAACTGCAGCTCATTGCCCATGTC